CTCCAACTAACTGGAGCACTATGTATTTTGAATACATAACCAGTAGTAGATCGTCATCTGTCTAGATCGCCCGCATAATCTGAGTCAACAAACCCATCAATCTAACATGTATCTCCACCAAAGCACAGACCCATATCAGCGGTATCCTTTAAGTACCTCAGGACCCACTTTACTGCTTCCCAATGTGTCTTTCCCGGATTCGTCATGAATCTGCTCACCACATTGACCACCTGTGAAATATTTGGGTATGCACACACCATGACGTACATCAAACTATCAACTGCACTAGCATTAGGAACACGCTCCATATGTACCTTATCTTCTGCTATAGTGGGAGATTGTTTACCTGAAAGCCTAAAATGTGGAGCTAATGGAGTCACCACCTACTTTGCATTTTGCATCCCGACCCTTGCGATAACCCACTCTATGTAGCCCTTCTGACTCAAGAACAATCGGCGATTCACCCACTCTCTCTTAATTTCCATACCCAGTATTTTTCTTACAACACTCATGTCCTTCATCTCGAACTCTTTACCAAGTTAAGATTTTAGCCTATCTATCTCCACCCTGCACTTCGAAGCAATAAACATATCATCCACATACAAAAGGAGATAGATATAATCACCTCCACGAAGCTTCCGAATGTAAACACAACAATCGTAGTCGCTTCAAGAAAACTCATACTTCAGCATGAAGGAATCAAATCGCTTGTACCACTGCCGAGGAGATTGCTTCAGTCCATAGAGTGACTTCCTCAAGCGATATACATGATGATCATTATCCTCAACCTTGTAGCCCTCAGGTTGATGTATATAGATCTCTTCATCCAAGTCTTCATGCAAGAAAGTCGTCTTTACATCGAGTTGTTCTAGCTCAAGGTCACCATGAGCAAAAATACTACATAGCAACAGAATAGAGGTGTGTTTCACTATAGGAGAAAATATCTCATTATAATCCACAACCTCTCTTTGTGCAAACCCTTTAGCCACTAACCTCACCTTGTACCACCAAGCTCTGAAGGATCTTCCTTTTTCTTATACACCCACTTACAACCAATAGTTTTTTTTCCTACGGAATGGGATCACCTCCTATGTTTGATTCTTCCGAAGAGATTTTATCTCCTCCTCCATCGCAGCCAACCAACTCTTACTATCTCTATCCCGAATAACTTATTTGAAGGAGACCGGTTTATCATCCTCCACCGAGAGTGCGTATTCCACCAAATTAACCTGTCCATAGTGCTTCAGGGGTTAATCAACCCCCAGCTTCAGTACCTGCTTGTATGCTCGTCTTGACCTAGTGGAAGCCAAACTATCCTCGAGCTGCTGTTGTTGTAGTGCTTGTGTATTCTCTTGCTGAACCTCCTCTTGCTCAAGCTCATCATCTATCTGATTTCCCACTTAAACATGACTAGAACCTGTTTGGTCTTTAGGTTCTATCTCAATAACCTGGGACTTTAAAGTCGCAACAGTCCTAACACCATCATCCTTGGACGCCTTAGCAATCATGGATTTCTCATCAAAGGTAGCATCCCTGCTGATCATGAACTTCGAATCTTCTGTACACCAAAGACGATAGCCTTTTACACCATTTGCATATCCCAAGAATATAGGCTTCTTGGCCCTCGCATCAAGCTTTCCCTTATTGACATGATAATAGGCGGTACACCCGAAAATTCAGAGCCTCTCATAACCTGCATGCTCCTCTGACCACACCCTATAGGGTGTATCACCATCCAATATAGAATATGAAGAACGGTTCATAATATAACAAGCTGTAGCCACTGCTTCTGCCCATCATTCCTTGCTCAATCCAGCATAAGATCGTATACTCATTATTTTCTTCCATAATATTCGGTTCAGTCTCTTCACGACCCTGTTCTGCTATGATGTTGACATGACTGTCCAGTGTCAAATAATGCCCTCATGGTCACAGAACTCCTTGAAGGCACCATCTGTATACTCCGTACTATTATCAGACCTTAGTATCTTCAGCTTCTTTCCTGTCATGTTCTCAACCATCGCCTTCCACTTCTTAAATGTCTCGAACACCTCATTCTTATGCTTCAGAAAATAAATCCAAGCATACATTGAATAGTCATCTATAAACGAGACAAAGTATCTAGAACCACCATTAGAAGTTGTCGGAGCCGGGTCCCAAACATCTGTGTGCACATAATCTAGTGTCGCTCTGCTCTTGCGATTGCTTCTTTGAAATTGAACCCTGTGCGCCTTCCCGTACACACAATTCTAGCAAAAATCCATGTAATATTTATTTAGATTCTTCAGGAGACCCTCCTTACCAAGCAGAACTAGACCCTATCTTTGACATGTGCCCAAGCCGCCTATGCCATAACCGTGTGTGCTCATATGGATCTCCACCACTTCCTTTAATTCTAACTGTTGCATCACCCGTCACCGTCGTAAATGAGAGAGTATATAAATTACCGTGACGAACACCCTTCATCACTACAAGGAAAACCCAAACAATCTTCTTCACTCCATTCTCTGTAACAATCCTACAACCACCGGAGTCCAATGCACCAACTGAGATAAGATTCTTCCGTGAGTCGGGAACGTGCCTCACATCTGTCAAGATTCGGACCACTCCATCATGCATCTTGATCTTAATATTACCTAGCCCCATCATTTTATAAGCATGGTTATTCCCCACTAATACGGTTCCATAATTAATGCTTCTGTAGGTAGTAAACCATTTCCTATTTGAGCACATGTGATAAGAGCAACCTGAATCAAGAATCCACTTCCCAGAGATATCCTCGTCACCTGTGACGACATAGCACTCCTTCTCGCTCCCTTTCTCTAAGACATAGCTCGCTTCTTCCTTGCCTTCTCTCCTCTCAATTTTGTTGTTGTTCTTCTTCCCATTGACTCTTTTATTTGGACAGTCGACCTTGAAATGCCCAACTTCACCGCATTTAAAACTTCCCGTCAGAGGTCTTGATTTAGATCTAGACTTTCCTCCATTGCCTTTTAATCGCTCACGACTCCTTCCTCTAGCAAACAATGCATGCGTTTGTTCGTTGCTACCACCAGTAGTCATGTCACTAGTTATAATCTTCTGAAAGTCATCCGCTAGAAGCGCCATTCTAGTCTCATACATCGTCAAATAATCTTTCACAAGCATCAGTGTTTGTACCATGTTCTCATAAGACTTAAACATAGATAGAAGTAGTTAAAGCGCCTGATCTTCGTCTTTAATTGTCACGTCTATATCCTTTAAGCCCGATATGATCTTATCAAACTTGTTGATGTATTCCCGGATTGATGAGCCCTCCTCCCTCTTGCAAGTATATAATTTGGATTTCAAATAGATCCGGTTCATTAGACTCTTCGTCATGAAGGTGTTTTCTAACTTCGACCCCACGCCCGCAGTAGTTTCCTCTCCATCTACCCAGAAAGCTACATCACTTTCAAGGCAAAGGATAATCGATGACAGTGCTTCCAGATCCAGCTCCTCCAAATCCTCATCAGATATATACTTATGCTCCTTCTCTTTTCCAGCCAAAGCCTTGTGCAATTTTTACGAAATCAACAAGTTTTTTATCTGCATCCTCCAATAGAAAAAATTATTCTTCCCATTAAACTTTTCGTTCTCATACTTTCTAACTTTGACTGTTTTGCTAGTTGACGCCATCCTCCGCTTGTATAAATAAATCTGTTTCTCTTAGAAAATTATCGAGCATCACCTTAAACCAGAAGTTACACCACTCCTAATCTGAATAACAGCTCTGATACCAATTGTTGGGTGCAGAGTCACGCTGTCACGTCATGAAAGCGGTATAATTCGAGAGAAAGCTTTGGTTTTTACTTTCACAAAAGCTCAAGCCAACCTCTATATTTCCGTTTCACAAAGGAAACAAGAATAAAAAGTGAAATATCTCAATAAAGTGAAATATACACTCTTCCTCTCATCAGTTCTAGGACTGACTTGTCGAGGAAACCTACAAGAAATAGCCAATACCCAAAAAACAATAAAGACACAAGATTTACGTGGTTCGGCAAACTTGTCGACGTTCACGGGAGGGGTGAGTGGAAATTCCACTATAAGAAGAATACCAACGACTTTTACAATCCACAAGCTTGTCTCAAAGATAAAGTTATGATTTTTACTCAAAAGAAATTGACCTCTCTCTTGTAAAATCTCTCCAAGCTCTCTTTTTCTCTCCTCAAGATCTCTCTTTTAGATCTGAAAAACTCTTTGTTTTTCTCCTCTAAAACAGCCGCCAAAAACCTCTTATTTCTTCTCTTTAATAGCTGGCTAACCCTCTGTTTTTCTCACCTATAGAAACCCTAGCTACAGCCGCAGGGTATTTATAAAAGAGCATGGAAATTTGGTTCGTGGGTTGCAACCGCACCTGGGCTTGCCGCTTACTGCTCCGCGCTCGTGGGTGTGGTGGCCCCCGCGTTCACAATATGTACCTTGATATTATATTAAAATTTAGTTGGCTATAGATATGTTTAGTATTCTTTAAGTTTTTGCCTATATATAGGCATATTTTTTTCACGTTGTAGGCACTTTTATTCGTCAATAATAATAATTTTTAGAGAATTTTCTACCATTTTTCTAGATTACTTTAAGTTTTGCATGTATATAGGCATGCATATTTTTCTAGATTACGTTGTAGGCATGTTATGGCGTTCCCACTCATCGAAATACAATTTATTGACAAATGAACGGACCAATGTACTTTCTCAATCAACGTCCCAATCAAATTGGTGGCCCAAGCCCAATAAGAGAGTCCGACTTAGCCAGCTGGATGAGTCAATATTCCTTCATGTCGACTCGAAAAGCGATAATAGTCGACCCTCTTATCGAAGACGATTTACAAGGAGTCCACTCGACCATTCAACTAACGCCCTCACAAGGACGACTCGAAAGGCGTTAATTCTCAGCGAATCTAAAGGATAACTTCTGCTTCGAGCTTATCCTCGCTGACAACATGTCCACATCGTATTTAATGCTTGATAGGCATCACCATGCCTCTAACCCCAACAGTCTTTATGACTCACCGGACCACATGGGCCACTGCCATGTGGTCAACCGACACCTGTAAAGCAGAGGTTGACTCAGCTGTCAGTCCACACTTTGCCCCCGCCTTTCTGTGCTTGGCCGAAGTGACTAACACTACAAGAAATTGGGTATTTAACGACCAAAATTAGCGAAGGGACCAGTTAACCGTCATTAATGTGTGTAAAATAACGACGGTTTTAAAGCCCTTCATCGAGTTATCACAATTATTAGAGAAATTATGTGAGAAGGGATAACGGTTTTTTAATCCCTTCGTTGATTTGATTCTAATACCGTCGTTATTGGGTCTCCTGAAAGACGAAGGAATATATTACCTTCATTAATAGGTCCCCTAATCATAACATGAGTATTTAATCAAAATAGTATAAAGAACCCAAACCCAAACCTCTCTAACTGCAACCAGTAAACAAATTAATAAACCCTAATTTGTGCCAGCGTCTTCCGCCGTCATCTCGTGCCAGCGTCGCTCCCTGCGCCAAGTCAACTATCGACATTTTTGCACAAACGTGTCCAATGATTGAGTTTGATCAATGCAAGCATGTGCGATAATTAGGATGATCAATGGAATCGGTTATTGATTTATTTCATGATGTGTTGTACTTTTAATCGTTATTGTACGTTTTTTGATCTTCGTATGTTCTTTTTCTTTAACATAATACCTCCGATCTTATGTCAATTATTTGAAAGTGTTGTATATGAAACTACTTTGATATCAAAACCTCCCAACATGTTTCTTTACATCTCTTCCAAACTTAGATGTATTCAGATAATACTTCAATGAGAAAGCTCAACTTCTTCATGTAATATGTCTAGATCTCTAATTTATTACAGAACTATCAACTTCCTACCATTTCTATGACATGTTACTTCTCTTATTTGAAGATCAGGTTCATCCTTATTGAGCTTAAGTGTTCATCATGGGGGTACAAAGTAGACAAATAAGCTCAAGCACAACCATAGGCTCAGTCCACAGGCCTCAAAGGAAGTAAACTCTAAAATCAAGGAAAAGCAGAAATATTATTGCTTCTGCTGCAGGGGCACCTAAGCCCCAAAATAATGACAATTTTGAGTTTGTTCATGTTGAAGCTGCTGGGAGAAAATCTGAAGGTTCAAATGGTACTCTACGGCTGTTTGAAGCTAGATATTATGTACATAAAAACTCATGCCGTTGTGAGCATAAATTTATCTACTTAATTTTAGGGTTGTGTCAAGAGGAATCATGGTTCGATTCTTTCAGCATTCTAGAGGAGTCTGATTCTGATGATGAGTACAGTAGTGTTCATGGAGGTATTATTTCATATCTTATTTTCAAGCTTATGTATGTTATATTATTACTGAAGTCTTTCTTTGTGGCAGATTGTTTTCCAATATCAGTGCGCAATTCTTCCGCGTGTAATGCAAATGCAAACCAAATGCTTCAGTATGAGAATGCTTCACGCTTTGTGGATTCCATTACCATGTGCAAGTTTGAGGATTTTTGTGGAGGTAAATAAAAATCTAATAATATATTCAACAAAGATCATCAATTTATGAGCATCAAAGGTTATGAATTTCCTCATGGTACAGAAGGGTTTACGAGAAGGAAACAGGTTCTAGAATCATACCGTAGCTTTAAACATTTGAAAGATGAAAAGTCTCAAGAGAAAAACTTAAATGTGATCACTAGTTATTTAGCTCTGTCCATCAGCTTCAATGATAAAATGTTTACGATCCATCCAATGCAGAATATTACCACTGCATCCTGTCAAGTGACAAAGTCTGCAGTTGTTAGGCTCTCATACAAGAGGAGGTCATGTGAGATGGAAGGTGGTGATCATTTCTGTAAGTTCCATATCTTTTGCTTGCAATTCATCCACATCTTTCTAACTCAAACTTTTCTCCAAGAGAAAGGTTAATTTCACAAAATTTTACAAAATTCCTCTAAACTTCTGTGGTTTTGCACATAACCTGTATCTCACAAATCAACATGAACTTCGCATTGTCTCACAAAGCCCCTCTAAACTTTAAACTTTTCTCACCAAATCCCTAACTATTATTAGCAAATAATTAAAATATCTTTGAATGAAGAAAAATACTCAATTTAGTCATTTGACATTTACAAGTAACATACTCTTCCCTAATTGATAGTTCTTACTTTCACGGGGACATTTTAGTTATTTCCAGATTATAGGTAGGGATCTTGCCAGCACAATTTAATGTATCATGAATAGATTACGAAATAGGGTCTAGAATATCTTAGTGTGATGCACTTTGATTTTCAATCTAATTACTTATTCACATAACCAAATCTTACATAGCCAAACATCATTGATTTTGTTTTAATGTAGTAGGTACTGCTACGAGATACTTATTCCACCTAAAAGGAGGACTAACAATCCCATGTTGCCCTGTCGAGGAACTGACACCAGGATGTTGGTCAACCCTTGACCCCTCTGCATTTAAGCTTCGTGGAGAAAGCTATTTCAGGCATCAACTCCACTCAAAATTCTTTCAGGTTTCTTCGCTCCTTTTTTTAATTTGATATGTAATTTTCTTGAACCTGAAAAATCTACATTAGGGATAAGAAAAAGACACCTGCTCCAACACATGCCCACGAAAGGTCAACCACATTGCTCAGTACATCTAGCTTCCCCATGTCAAGACTCACAATAAAGTCCCTTCACTTTTCTCATTGTTAACATTCAGGTATCAATTTATGACACCCCCAGTCAAGCTCTTCTGTAATCATTATTGATAAATCAGATAGTTTTTATGTTATAGGTACCTACATATCCTGATGTAATGTTTTTGGGCGAAAGTGATGGAGAGGGAATGAGCCTTGTATTGTATTTTAAAGTATCTGAATCTTATGATAAGGAAATTTCTTCTACTTTCCAGGACTGTATCAGGAAAAATTTTGGCATGAAAAGTTATCTTACTTTTCAATTTGGAAAGACTTCCCTTGAGAAATAACATTGTATATCTTTTCAAAGATTTATAGATGATGAAATAGAAACGATCAGAGGATACACGATGGACTGCGTTGTTCCTTTCAGGGAAAGGTTGAAGATTATGACTAGTTTAGTTAATCCAGAGGAACTCGATTTGAATTCTGCTGAAAAAAGCTCATTCAATCTACAATGAGAAGCCAGTGCTATCTCGCCCCCAACACAACTTTTACAAGGTAAGAAGTTTACTTCAACATGCACATATCTAATACAAAATTTATCTTCAGCTATTATGCTTATCCTTCGTGATTTCTTTTTCTTTTATTCATTTCTATTTGACATTTGTTTCATACATAGTGTATAATACTTAAATTCCTTTTTATAGCAGGAAAATGAAAACTCAAGAAGTCACAAGTGAAAGCTATGTAGGAACTTTTTTTTAGGCAACCATCTTCATTGACTCCTCAAACTCGAGAATATGTGGAAGACTAGGTAATTATTTTTTGTAAAATATCTTATATACTTATGATTGACTACTTGCACTAGAGAAAATATGATTTTTACTTAATAAGATAATATTTGCTTAATCAACATTTCTTAATTATGTGAATTTTTTAATTTTTCAGGCTATCCATGCAAGATTAGGAGAGGGGGGTAGCTCGAATGTTCTTTTGACGATGATTAGAGATGAAATGATGTGTCTTTCCCAGACTTTTATTTTAATTTGTTTTAGATAGTTTCACGTATTTTTCTTTGGAACAATTGGGAAATTAACTCTTGTTATCAGTATTGAATATTTGAGGATGATGAAATTTTATTTATTGATGTTGTTAATGAATGGAGTTTTTGTTTTCCCTTTTACTCATTATTGGGTATTTTTAATATATTTTTGTTGTGAATCTTAGTGTCAGGTTGAGAATAATATGATAGTTGCCTATGAATGGAAAAATTATTATTAATGTATATTAAAAATTTATAGTCTATAATGACGGTTTTATAAACCGTATTTTGTTCATCAACGAAGGGAAAGCACTGTCGTTGATGGGTTACTAATTACCCATTATGAGGACTTTTACGACGGTATCCAACCGTCATTAATTAGTCTTCAACGATGGGAAAATATCCCCATAACTAATGGTAACGACGGGAAATATCCCCGTAACTAATGGTAACGACGGGAAAATATCCCGTCACTAATGGTAACGACGGGAAAATATCCCCGTCACTGATGGTAACGACGGTGATAATTACCGTCGTAAATATTAATGACGGTAATATATTCCATCGTTATAGATTCTATAACGACGGGTAGTATATCCCTTCGTGACCCTTTAGCGAAGAGGGCTTCAACGACGGGTGACGAAGGGATTTTTCCCCGTCGTTAGCCTACAATAACGACGGTTTTCAGCTTTTTAACGAAGGGAAATCCCTTCGTTAAAGATGTAATTTCTTGTAGTGTAATCTACCCCTTATACACTGGGTATAAATACATGTACTATTCTAACATCAAGGAGGTTCCAAGAGTCTATCATCTAACGCATGCATTGTTAAATAACAAGAACACACAGTTCTTTCTAGATCCCACTCAAGTTCATCAACTAACTTGATCGTTGAGGGTGCAACGGGGGAACCAATCCCTGTCTCTCACGAATTTCTACTTGTGCAGATTCCTAAGATACCTAACTTAAGAAACAGACATAAAGTCAGGGAAGAAAGCAGCCCCTCATCAATCCTCAATAACCTCATCCTGCCCTGGATACATATTGACTGTGTGATCACTAGTACATCAATAAGGCACTTTTACCCCCTCTCTTCTTGTCATGTCTCTTTCATCCCCTTGAACTTTAGCTATTATCTTAATCAAACTAGTGATTTGATGCTTAATCTGGCCAACTCCTATTCAACGTGGAGACTTTGCCGATGAATTTTCCTTGCCACTAGATAATATATGTCCCACGTACTTCCTTGCATCTATAATTACTTATAGATAGAGAGGACTAATTAAGATTATTAAATAACAAGTATGCGCGATACGCAATTGCTGTTTTGAGAATGCGATTGGAAACAGCCGTGATTTCATAGCGCACGTCTATTTGTTCCCGTATGATATTTCCAAAGCATTTCCTATTGCTTGCCTCATTGTTTGTTGTTATCCTCTAAAATAAGGTCACGGTTCTTCCTTTAAAATCAGTGGGAAAAGATAATAACGCATACAACTACTCCATTCTTTATGATATATAGGGATTATTAGATGGTCTCTTTTCGAAAAATATTATTGGGTAAAATATAAGAAACACTCCTCATTTACACTTCTTTGTAAAATGTAGGGTTTTGAAGTGCAAACATCCGACCGGACGTCTGAAGATCGACCAAAACTGCGATAGAAAACTAATGGCTTTTTAAAGGTCACGCATCAGGGCTCTAAAACCTTTTAATTAAGATGAGAGAATATCTTGATAAATAACTATAGCTTAAGGGACTTTCTTGTAATTTACGTAAAAAAAAGACCATCGGAACGGTGAGAACATATTGTACTTGGCCAATATGCCTACACGTGACATAGACCCCTACAAAGCCATAGCACGGTCCCCCGTAATAACAAATCACATGATATGATTATCTCTATATACTTAGGCAATTGGAAGAACATTTAAATTATGCCAAAGTTGATGTTCTTTCTTTTCCTAGATGTTGGCGCTTTATGCGGACGCAAAAACATTGGTTCGATATATCTTTCCTTTTGTTAAAACAAAAGAAAGGAAAAAGGGTCTATTAATTATATTAAAGCTTTATTTATTCATTTATTTATCGTTAGTTAATAGAAGAAAGTGTGTACGTATATACGGTTTTGATGCGATGTGAGGGGACGCAAAAACATTGGTTCGATATATCTTTCCTTTTGTTAAAACAAAAGAAAGGAAAAAGGGTCTATTAATTATATTAAAGCTTTATTTATTCATTTATTTATCGTTAGTTAATAGAAGAAAGTGTGTACGTATATACGGTTTTGATGCGATGTGAGGG